GGGGGGGGTGGGCAGGGAATGGAGCAGAGAAAAAGCTTAGTCACCAGAGAAACTCTGCACAGGAAAGGGCTACTTCTACAGCCCAACCGTCCGGGGCTCGCTGACGAGGACAGGCCGATGCCCACCTCCCCTATACCCTGGAGCCCACCCCACCAGCATGACCCACCCGCAATGCCACGGACAGCCCTTCTTTCCTCCCAAATCAGAAGTCCAGAGCCAGCCCTGGGATACAGGACACAGAAGCAAGAAGGGCAGGGAGAGAGGAAGAGGAGAGGAGGGTAGGTGAGGAAGCACAAGGTAGTAAAAGGGAAACCATTCTCTGCCACGTGTGTACACACACATGTGTGCAAACCCACACACTCGGACTACAGCAAAGTAAAAATATGAATTCTTTCACAGAGAAAAGTATGTCCAGTGTTCCAAGCAGGGTTTCAGCCACAGTAGGTAAAATGCCTGCCTACTAAAAAATAAAAAAAATCAGTTTGAAATAATAAACTACAGAAAAAGAAAATATAAAAGGCGATTTCCAAAGGCTTCCCCAATGGCCAGGTCATATCCATCACCTTCCCTGTTGATGGGCACTGCTGGCCCCTGTACATGTCTGGGCCCCAGAGTGCAGGAACCCTGGGACCGAGAATAAGTCTTAACTGCTGTCGAACTCCTTAAAGCCAGAGCCCAGCACTCTGTAACGAACACTCTTTAAATTGACAGTGACCAGAAACACAATCTCTCACGTCACACTTTTTAGAACAGCTCCAAGTGAGATCTCGACTCAGGAGTCCCTTAAAGATTGCATTGGACTGAGCTTGGTCATGACCAGGTTGGCCCTTCAGATCATATGAACTGGGGAGAGAGGGGCAGGGACTGCTGTTTAACAGGCAGAGTCCTGTCCGGGGTGACAAGAAAGCTCTGGCACTGCTGGTGGTGGCCCTGCACGCCAGTGTGGAGGTGCTGACCCCCTCGACTACACACTCCACAATCACTAAAACAGCACGTCTGTTATACGTGTTTGACTGCAGCCAAACAACGGTAAAGTTTTAAAGTAATGTGGTAGCTGCAAACGTGAACGTGGCGCTTGAAACTTAGAGCATGGGCCGGCTTCGGGGGCACAGCAGTAACACGGTACTCTGGGTTGCACGGGCATGTGGGAAGGGTGTGGGTTCGTAACCTGGGGGCTCCCTGCACACGCCAGTGACCAGGGCTGGCCGAGGCTGGGGAGACTGCAGCATGAGGACTTGGTTGGGGACCTCTCCCCACCTCAGAATAAATAAATTAATAAACTGGGGGGAAAAATAAAGCATGAACTGGGAGAAGAAAAAGTCAGTCAATTAAATGCTTAAGCATCACTCCCTCATTCTCAGAGTTTGGGAATTGAGTTTAATCATCAATTCGGCCTAGTAAGTCACCCGCTGCTCTCGGACGTCAACACCACGCTGGCTTCAGCTGGGACGCTGAACTGCCACTGCAGAGTGGGCTCCCCGAGTGGAGCAGACACGGCTGTCATGTCTCCTCCAAACCTTTGGCCAGTCTCAGTAAGCACAGAGGAGGACTGACTGCTCAGGGCAGCAAAGCTTTATGAAACTGTAGCCTGAGATTGTTCAAAAGAAGGCAAAAGCTTAAGACTGACCAAGTTTCTCCACAGGAAAAAGAAAATGTGATAAAACAGCAGAAAGTTGAGGCTGACCAGTGGCGTGGTGGTTAAAGGCACTGGATTCCCACATGGCCAACCGCGACTGAGTCCCAGACCTGGCGGCTGGCTTTCTCTCTCTTTCCCCCCAACTCTGGTCAAACTAAAATGAATAAACAGAGCTAAATAATTATTTACTTTTAAAAAATGAAGTTGAACTGTTTACTTTTTAAAAAATCACTTGAAGTCAGCTTCTTTCTAACAACAGAGCTTACCCAATGGCGTCTTAAACAGGTGTGACCTACAGCAGGCATGGGTGCTGGTGATGACAATCCTGTACTCCACTCAGTGCAGAAAATTACACAAGGCCAGAGCGTCCTGCAAGTTCTCCCTCGTATCCCACCGCACTGAGTGACCATGCATGACTGGTGGAAACACAAGCTTCCGAGTTCTGACATCTGTCACTAGCACTGGTTTGAGCGACAGGTGGTTTCTCTCCTGGCCGCGGGCAATTGAGTTTATGGAGAGGGTGGAACGACAGCAGCACTGTGTTGGCTCAAGTGCCTTCCAGGAGCAGGACTCCCCTTCTTTCTTACTTGTGATAAATGTCCGTGCACATGTACATGAGAGGGAGGACCAGCGAGAGAACGAGGAGGAGCCTCCCCAGAGTCTGGTCATGCCACGATCCCCTCCCTCTGGTCTTCCAGCCTGGAGGACCTTTGCACACCCACATGTGTGCCCAGCACGACCCAGTCAAGGATTCAAACTGCAGTCACCATGTGGGACGCAGCCTGTCTTAAGCGGCACATCACTGCCATACCACAGGGCTGGTCTTACTGGGCTGCTTTCGATGAGGTGACCCAAATGCTGTTGCAGCCCGGCCACCAAGGAGCGGCGCCTTCCCTGATCTGCCCAGGGCCACCTCACCCCACTTACCCAGCGTCCACGCGAAGTAGTACTTGGGCTTGGAGGCCTGCATGACCATGAATAAGTAGTAGAGTCGGGTGAGGAAGTGTGCTCTGTGGACAAACCAGTCATCAACAAGGCAAGTGACAGGGAAGGCCTTCGTGAGCGTCAAGAACAGGAGGAGAGACACCAAAGTCAGGCACAACTTGCGGATCACAGCTCCCTGAAAATGGGAAAAGTCAACACGACCATTCAGACTCAGAAAGACCCCGGGCGGGGAACCAGCAGTTAGCGTAATGGCTATGTCGCTGGACTCCCACGTAGTCGACCGCGGTTCGCGTTCCGGACCCGGTGGCTTAAAACTCATGCCGGGCGCGTATGTGTGCGTGCCCAAGATCCTGAGAGGAGAATGGAGGAGAAGGGATTGCGGCATGACCATCCCCCTGGGGGGTGATTTCTCGCTTTCTGTCTCTATGTCTCTCTCTGTCTGGTGAACACACGCACCCTATAGTGAAAACCTCTCAAAAAAAAAAAAAAAAAAAGAAAAGAAAAGAAAAGAAAGACCCCCGGCAGCAGCACGTCCAGAACGACCTGGTCGGCAGCTGGAGGGTTTCACTCCCCAGACTCCATCCTCACGACGCGCGCTGATGAGGGGCAGAGCCATACTCAGATGCACACCAGGCATGTGTGCGTGTGTCCCAGATCCCAAGACGAGGCAGGAGGAGAAGGGACTGCAGCATGACCATCCCCCAGGGGTGATTTCTTACTTTCTCTTTTTCTCACTCTTTCTCGCCCTCCCTCTGGTGAGCACATGCACCCTATGCCAAAAACTAAAAGTAGGTAGTTTTATTATCCGAACCTAAGAAATGGATTATAACACAGGGTGGCAATTCTCCATCAGGAAGAAATAACCATCTGCAATCCACTTCTGTAGCCAGCGGAGCCCAGGAAATGAGCTGGGGTCGCAGGCAAGGGGACAGTGACGCAGGCAGGAAGGATTTGGAGCTGGCACAGGGCAGGTAACGGCGAGGCTGGGGAAGCCCCAGGGATGGTGTAGAAGGAGACGACTCTGTGTTCAGGTGTGCCCACCCGAACAGAATTCAATTCCTCTGGACAGAACGAGTTTGCCCACTGTCCTTGACATTCCAGGGAACGTCATTCCATGGTCAACAGTACCCACGTCTCACTTCATGAAAACAGACGCCTTTTACTTACAACATGGGCAGCACCATAGCACCTCCCCCAGAGAGGGGCCTGGGGCTTCAGTGAGCTTTACAAGGCGCTGATGACACAGCTGGCTCCTAGCCACATGCCTGCCACGCTCGGCCACATGGAGCTCCAGCACTGACGAGGCCCCGCTCATGGAGGCCAGCCCTCCCACCAGTGGGTCTTGAACCAAAATGCAACCTCGCCGCCTCGCTTTTCTCTCTGCACAGAGATCCAAGAGGCTCCCTGGAGAGTGACCGTCAGACATCCAATAAAACTATCTCCTGACTAAAAGCCCACGTCACACAAAGGCACTACAGCAGCAGACACTGCCCGGGCACACCAGGTGACTTCGAGGCCTGTGGCCGCGGAGACTTTGCTCCTTGACTGTCTCAACGAAGCAGAAGCTGAAACGCTCGGCTGCTGACCGGGAAGCACTGAGAACCTCGCTGTGTCTCAACGGTCCAAACACCCGTGCCTAATGAGTGAGGCTCCCAAACGTTCCAGGACTCAACGCCTGTTTCTGCCTAGACTTCGGCACTTACTGATATATTTCATCAAGTCACTGTCATCTGCTCCCTTTTCCAATGTTCACCCTTCCTCCCACTAGTGACAAAGTTCCCTGGAACAGAGGGTATTAGAGCTGAATACATTTAGCATACTGCGCAAGTCCAGTGAGCGATCCTAATAGCCACTAAGCTGACATTACCAAAAGTAAGGTTAAAAGTCATCTCAGACTTTCTCCAAGTCATTAAAATCAGGCTTCTGGCATGCCCGCGTAAAACTCATTCTCCCTGTCAGAGGTAGACTCTACCACAAGACATTTAAAAACACACGCACACATTAACTCTGGTCCCAGTCCCTGCTCCAGCCACTTGGCATCGCATGTCATCTTCTGGCTATATCCGAGTCTCGATCCTTAAAGACGAAACAGCTGCAGGACCAAGCCTGTTGAGCACTCGAACGCACTAACTGTGCCCTGGCAGGCTGAGATTGAGGTCCCACCATTCCACCCAGGCCCCTCTGTGATGCAAACACCCCTGCACACAGAAAACCGCTGCAAATCGACACCAGCACCAGATTTTTTTTTTTTTTGGAGAGATTTTCACTGTAGGGCGCGTGCACTCACCAGACAGATAGAGAGACACAGAGAGACAGAAATGAGAAATCACCCCCCAGGGGGGATGGTCACGCCGCAATCCCTTCTCCTCCATTCTCCTCTCGGGATCTTGGGCACGCATGCACACGCGCCCGGCGTGAGTTTTAAGCCACCAGGTCCGGGACGCGAACTGCGGTCGACTACGTGGGAGTCCAGTGACATAGCCATTACGTTAACTGCTGGTTCCCATCCAGCACCAGATTTTTAAACACACAGGCGGAGGGGCCAGCAGGCGGCATGGTGGTTGCGGGGCTGGACTCCCACGTGGTTGACCGTGCTTCTAGTCCTGGACCTGACAGCTTGCTTTCTCACTTTTGCATGTGTCTCATAGCAAATTAAAATAATAATAATATAAACAAAAATTAAATACATTGTTTTTTTGGTTTTTTTTAATGTTTTTATTATATTAGCCAAGCTTTCCGGTAAACTTCTTTTGGTTTTTCCTTTAGTTTGTCAGAAGGCATGTGTGCTCACTAGAGACAGAGAGAGGGGGAGGAGAAAGCACCTCCGTGGGCACTGTCATGCCTCAGTCCGTCCCCACGTCTCCATTCTGTTGGCATTTTGTCCATGCACGCACATGCACCTGGCATGTTTTCCAAGGCAGCATGTCTGGGATCGAACTGTGAGCCACGCGGCTGCAGCTGCCTTCACCACTCAGCCATAGAGCTGGCCTGCTAAACTGGTTCTTTCATCAGAGCAATTATCAGGCGACAGTTAACCCTGGCAACGAAACTGTATTTTCTGGACCTCTAGGTCAACATTTGGCAACAAAACTTACAGTGGGGGAGGGCTCTGGCCCGCCAGGGACACCTTTTTGCTTCCAGTTCACTTCCAGCAACTTCATGTGTATGTGTCGCCCCTCAATGAAGGCCACATAGTCCTTGAAATGGTTGCAGGGGCCAGCTATGACACTCATGAAATTGAGAAGGTAGCTCACGTATTCCAAGAAAGAGGGTTTCGCCCTGTGGAAATAAGCAAAGTAAGAAAGTTGAAAAGTCTCGAGTGTTTAGTTTTCATTGAGTTTGAAAATAAGCAACTCATAAATACAGGTGTCATCGACGTTGGTGTCTGCCCGAGACCTGACCCTTCCGTGTTTTGATTCTACAAGAAACGTCGCTGAAAGGAAAAGCTGGCGAGGCTGCAGCTCCGAGCCCGCGCAGCGCCCCGCGGCCGCAAACGCTCAGGGTGGCGTGAGGGTGAAAACCGCCCTGAAGCTGGGAAATACTCACTCGCCACACTTCTCTGTCTACGGGAGAAAATGAAGTGACAAGCAGGGTGGGAACCTGGCCTGTCAAGCGACTGAGATGCTTTAAAATTCCCTCCCGACTGCCAAAGTAAATACAAAACAAATCATGGGTGGAACCAGTTTCCACTCGGTCAGGCCACCCAAAACCGCCAGGCAAGAGGCTCTTGATGTTTTCACATCCAGGCCTGAGGTCGCGCACAAGACGGGGTAGTGGCAGGAAGGATCCTGCCGAGAACAGTTCCGCGTGACGCTCTCCCTGCTCTTCACGGGACAGCAGGTGGGGAAAGGCTTCCTGAAGTGTCACTAGAACCAGGCCCAGCATCCTTTATACCCCATATGCTTAGGGAAGAATTGGCCTCGTCAGAACTTCACAGCTCTCCCCTGCTCCCAAGTCCCGATTCCCAAATGAAGGACCACACATCTCCAGCCTCTCTGCCACAGAGACCCTCCTTCCTTGCCTCAGTTACCTCCGACCACTCTCCAGCAGGGAGCCCTGAGCCTGTCCACCTGCGATGACTGCACCCCTCCCCGACCAGCCACTTCCACTTCCTTATCAATGCCGTTCCCCTCTACCTCGGACAGCCTCCCTTCCTTTCCAGCTCCGTCCACCCCTTTCTACTGCACATCGACACTGGCCAAAGCCCACCCCCGGGTCCTCCCACTCCTGCAGCCATCCCTCCCGCCCGCTTCCTCTCTTCCCCATGCTGGCACCCAATCACACAGATGCGCCCTGGTGATTAATGGTTTCTCGAGGAAACCCCCCCTTCCCCAGGCACAGGCCCAATAAAAATAACCATGGGGTAGACATAACAATTCCAGTGAAGGAGAATCTTACAGAACAAATTACAGACCCACTTAATCTCTGACCGAGCAATCCCAGTTCTGGGAATCTATCCATCCTAGAGCTATCCTCAAGCATATTTAAAACAACCCAGGTGCAAGGTTGTTCATTCAGCACTTACCGTTTGCAAAAGCCAAAGACTGGTAGACCACTCAAGTGCCCATCAATAGCAGATAAGTTAAAGAAACGATATTATATCCATGTAATGAAATTAACATGCAGATATTTAAAAAATGAGTAAGCTCTCTAGACACCAATAGGCCAAGCGCTCAAGAAAATATCGTCAAACCTACTTTACAGCAAGTCGGTGTTGCTCAGCAGAGAGGTCTTCAGCTCTCCGACCTAATCCTATATAAAAAAAAAAAATTAGAAATAAGATGTTTGACATAGTAGTTAAGGCACTGAATTCCAACATGACTGATAACAGTTCGAGTCCTGGACCCAGCAGCTTGAAAATCACACTGGCACATGTGTGTGCATGCCCAAAATCCCAAGAGAGGACTGGAGAAGGGACCGTGACTGGCCATCCCCTGTGGGGGTGGGGAGTGATGTCTCACTCTCCCTTTCTCTGTTTTGCTCAGGAGAATGCACATGCCCTGTGGACAGTTCCGCGTGACGCTCTCCCTGCTCTTCACGGGACAGCAGGTGGGGAAAGGCTTCCTGAAGTGTCACTAGAACCAGGCCCAGCATCCTTTATACCCCATATGCTTAGGGAAGAATTGGCCTCGTCAGAACTTCACAGCTCTCCCCTGCTCCCAAGTCCCGATTCCCAAATGAAGGACCACACATCTCCAGCCTCTCTGCCACAGAGACCCTCCTTCCTTGCCTCAGTTACCTCCGACCACTCTCCAGCAGGGAGCCCTGAGCCTGTCCACCTGCGATGACTGCACCCCTCCCCGACCAGCCACTTCCACTTCCTTATCAATGCCGTTCCCCTCTACCTCGGACAGCCTCCCTTCCTTTCCAGCTCCGTCCACCCCTTTCTACTGCACATCGACACTGGCCAAAGCCCACCCCCGGGTCCTCCCACTCCTGCAGCCATCCCTCCCGCCCGCTTCCTCTCTTCCCCATGCTGGCACCCAATCACACAGATGCGCCCTGGTGATTAATGGTTTCTCGAGGAAACCCCCCCTTCCCCAGGCACAGGCCCAATAAAAATAACCATGGGGTAGACATAACAATTCCAGTGAAGGAGAATCTTACAGAACAAATTACAGACCCACTTAATCTCTGACCGAGCAATCCCAGTTCTGGGAATCTATCCATCCTAGAGCTATCCTCAAGCATATTTAAAACAACCCAGGTGCAAGGTTGTTCATTCAGCACTTACCGTTTGCAAAAGCCAAAGACTGGTAGACCACTCAAGTGCCCATCAATAGCAGATAAGTTAAAGAAACGATATTATATCCATGTAATGAAATTAACATGCAGATATTTAAAAAATGAGTAAGCTCTCTAGACACCAATAGGCCAAGCGCTCAAGAAAATATCGTCAAACCTACTTTACAGCAAGTCGGTGTTGCTCAGCAGAGAGGTCTTCAGCTCTCCGACCTAATCCTATATAAAAAAAAAAAATTAGAAATAAGATGTTTGACATAGTAGTTAAGGCACTGAATTCCAACATGACTGATAACAGTTCGAGTCCTGGACCCAGCAGCTTGAAAATCACACTGGCACATGTGTGTGCATGCCCAAAATCCCAAGAGAGGACTGGAGAAGGGACCGTGACTGGCCATCCCCTGTGGGGGTGGGGAGTGATGTCTCACTCTCCCTTTCTCTGTTTTGCTCAGGAGAATGCACATGCCCTGTGGCAAAAAATAAAAAAAAAAATTAAAAAAGGAAGGAAGGAGGAAAGAAAGAAGATATTTGAAAAGACATAGATAATAGATATAACTAATCCTAAAAGCTTTCATCAAACTCGTTTGGAAAAGGTAATTTGTTTTGCCTCATAAAGCAGAAAGAGTCCTGGTTTTCCATTTTTTAAAAAACATCCTGGAGAAAAAGCAACCCATAATAAGTACATGCATAAGAACAAAAGTCTTCATTTTTATTTGTTAAAAGTGTATTATTTCCATAAGAGCAACAGATAAGAGAAAGAGGCAGACAGAAGACAGACAGGCACCCCCAAGAGGGTCCCCGTGCTAAATCCTCCCAGGTCTGAGCTAGCCCAGCTCACAGACATGTGCACCCTCAGGGAGTCCCAGGGCTGCCAGGACTCGAACATCACGCATCACCACCTGGCCCAAGAAGGAAGTCTTTGCAGGTTCAGATGAAGGCAGAGAATTCAGAGGCTACTCCCGTTTCATTCATGTGGCATGACAAGGACCCCAGGGAGCCCTCCCCATTCTGTACCCCAGCAGGTTCCTTCCCACTGGGTACACACGGCTGCACTATGTCAGAGAAGGAGCTTGCTGGTCCCAGGCTGCCCCCATTTAAATATCTCCCTGCCCATGCCGGGCACGGACACCTGCCAAAGCTGTGTGTGTGGCTCTGGGATAAGACGTAGAAAATGGAATAAGGTTTTTCCTCTTCCAAAAACCAGAGGAAATGTAACCCAGAGTGCAGGGAAAACACAAAGCAATTATCAGACTTTTCTTCTTTTTAACACTCATCCACAGCAGAAAAATTCCCAACCAAAGTACATTGGCACCTCGCATACAATGTGTAAGTTAACTTCCAGTCGAAGAAACAGAAGTGTTTATCTCATAAGCAATGTAAGTCGACTCTGAAAACGCACACCCAACTAAGACTAGCTACGGTCACCGGTCACCGAGGGCGAAGGCCAGTCCACTGCACGCCTTCGCCAAGGGGACCGTGTTTGGGGAATTTACTGGCCCCTCCCACACACCAGAAAGAAAGGAAGGCAAATAAACATTTTGCTGCATGCGAGGGATGTTCCAGAAAAGATGGCCAAGCGAGAATGCTTAAAAAAGCAAATTTAGACAAAAAGTCCATTTAAAAATAAAAACAAAAACAAGAAGCAGTGTTGGGGGAAACCTCGCTCATTTGTTTTACCTGAGATCTCAGCATCTCTCTGGCAACCTCAGGAATGAAACTGATTTTCAGCTGTTGGTTTATCTGCTAATGTTAGTCTTTCACCATGCTCAAGGGCAAGTTTTTGTATAACCAGAGTGACCAACCCAATCCCATGTGCTCGGGGCTCTCTAATCCAGCACCCCAAAGTCTCACATCCCGAGGAACCTCTCAGAATGTGGGCAAACTGGGATGGCTGGTTACCCTAGAAAGACTTCATCCTTGGTATCAAATGACCCAGTTCTGAACGGAACGACTAAGCGACCATGTGTGGTCGAGAAACGCATTGGGTCAAACGAAATGAAATCAGTTCCCAGGCTTTAAGGAAAAACAAGAAAACTCGCTGTTGGAGATAAATCTTCTCACCCTGTCAACACATAAAGAAACCCCAACAGTTGAAAAGTGTTTGCTGGAGCAGTACAAATCCTCGGAATATACGTTTACTAATTGAACTTGGCATCTCTTAAGCCCATATTGAAATCTTCCGCCCAGCTGAGATAATCTTCCTTCTTTCCCCAGAACCCAGTTTTAACCGTGCAAATCACACTTCGGGACCATTTTAGGAACAGCCCGCGAGAAGAAAACGTTCGGCTTTATACAAACAGGAGCTTCTTCCTTCTCTCATCTCTTTATAGGGCTAGGCTCATCTCCTTAGGTAATCTTCCAAGACAAACACAAAGCAAAAAACCAAGAAACTAGCATTAAAAACATTATTAACTGCGGTGTCATTTTTTATTCTCTTGTGGGTATCTCAGGGATTAAACCAAGGAAAAAGGTTGCCATTGCTTCTTAACAGACTTGGAAATGATAGGCAGAGAGCACCACAAATTAACTTAATGTAAAATGTTGTAAAGATTAAACACTGTTCTTGGCACAAATATTTCACCAGATTTAGAGAGAAGCTCAGCAGCAGAATGGTGACGAACAGCTGGCACAGTTAAAAGCTGTGATTACAGGCAGCTAAAAGTTTTGACCCAGATAAAGCCAGGCCTGCCAGCCCTTGTCTGAACACTGGGTTGTAGGTAGTCTAAGAAGGAACACTCTGAGTCAGGCTCACTTGGAGAACCGGCAGGAGGGTGACTGTCTTACCGTCATGCACTTGGAATGCCAAGGTTGTGATCTTCTGAGTGACAATCATTAGAGGCCTAGAAGAAAGACAGACAATAATTACGACGGTACAATTGCTACAGGGAGAACATTTCAGTCTCGTAGTCTGGGGGGCGTTTTCCATTTTGAAGGTTACTATGTAAAATAGAGGAACACTGAATTCAAAATAAGCAATGTCATTTCCTCTCCAAATCCCTGAAACTATGTGGATATCACAACACTGTACAACGTGAGCCCATGAGACAGTCGGTCCCCTGTGCTGTCCCTCTCAGCGGTCCGGGACAGCGCCACCATAGGAGCACCACCTGACACCTGCTGGAAATGAAGAATCTCAGGGGTCGGACGGCAGCACAGTGTGGGACTGACCAACTCGGGAAGGTTCCAGGTTCATATCCAAGACCTCCCTGATCACCGGAAACATGTGTGCCCTGTCATCTGGGACAGGCTGAGTTTGCGAGTGGATTATGGTGTCCAGACTCTGCTGGGGCTGCTGTATCTCTGTCTCTCTCACTCATGGGAGAGAGGGGGAGAGAGAGAATGCAGAATCTCAGACTCCATTCCAGATCTAGAAAATGAGAACCTGCATTTTAACAAGATTGCCAGGGAATTCAAATGCATATTAAAGTGAGAGCAGCATTTGTGTTCTCTCTCTCTCTCTCTCTCTCTCTCTCTCTCTCGTTTTCACTCTCACTCTCACAGTGATTTCTTGCTTTCTGTCTCTTTCGGTCTCCCTGGTGAGCAAACATGCCCTATAGCAAAAAATCTCTCTTAAAAAACAAACAAACAAACAAAAAACGTTCAGAGGACTTGCTCTGAGTAAGACAGACTAACACATGTGGGCATGGACACACATGCGCCTGGCGTGAGTTTTAAGCCACCAGGTCCGGGACTCAAACCACAGTCAAGTACGCAGGAGTCCACCAGCGTAAGCATTACGTCATCTGCTAGCCCCCCTCAATGCTTTTTAACTGATAGATTTATTTACACTTAGGAGGAAGTCAGATGTAAAAATTTAAAACACAGCTGCTAATTACAACTGGAATCCATGCTTTTTTTGTTTTGTTTTTTAAAAAAATCCAAAACTTGTATATATAAGCACAGGATGGGGGAAAATGGGAGACTCAGAAATAGCTTCTTGATGCAGCCAAAAAATGTCATTAGGACAATGCGGTCTTTGAACTTGAGCTGTACGCGGGCCCTCCACCCTGTGTCCTCGGGTTTCCACACGCTCGTCAGGCGTGGGCCCTGGGCCCGTGGGAACATCTGGCCAGCGAGGACTTGAGGTTTGAGATCAGCATAGTTGAGGTGGTACCATTTCCCTTTGTCCTGTGAATTCTTTTCATGATTAAAAGAGAAGATGAAAAGCCACAGGAAACTGTATTTCCTTTTTCTTGAAGCCATGATTATTATTCTAATTTGGAAAATGAAATATAGTGGGGAAAATGAAGTTTGGGGAAACAGGCGGAGGGAGGTAAGGTTGGAGTAAAGAGAGAACGCCCCTCCTACCACCACCTCGCACGCATGCAACGCACGCACGCGCACAAAACCGGTGCCTCCGACACAGGCTGGGGGATTCACAGGGAGCAGGACCCGCTGGTCCACTTCCACGTCCCATATCCACTCCCAGCCAAAATAAGACTGTTGCTCCGTTTTGAGCCGTATTTCAAAATAACCGATTTGACCTTGACATGCAGAGCTGCGGTGGCTCAGGCCCCACGTCCCGGGGAAGCTGGGTTGGGATGGTGAGATCGCATCTGTCTCGGTGTCCAAGGAGCCCACCAATCACACGTCGGGGGGCCAGTGCCATGTTAGCTCTGCCATTCGAGGGTCTTGTTTGCCCAGCGGGTAATTTAGAACCAACAAGTTCCACTTTACATGGTTATTTCTTCCTTTGTTTCTAATAGGAATCCTCAGAGGGGCATGGATTCTAGGAAAGTGGGGAGTTGGGGAAGCAAGGAGTTGAGCAGTGTGAAGGCCAACAGGAGTGGCCAGCTCCCAGTCGCTGCAGCCCAGCAGCTCGGCGGACCTGCACAGCCTCTGAGGGTGCCCAGACACACAGGGCAGGTGCAGCCTAGGGCCTGGACCCTGGAGCAGAGGGATGGAGCACCCGGGCAGCGCTGCCTCCCTACGGCTGCTCCTGTCCCCGTCCGCTCCTCGAATGACTGCAGGAGAGGAGGCTGTCACAGCCTCAGCGGAATCCACCCAAATTCCCATGATTGTGCTAGAGCAGAGAGGGGAAGTAAGGAGCTTCAGGAGGTGCAGCCAGGAAGCCAGCGTCCTGTCAGGCCTCCTAGGGCTGCAGCGGAGGCAGAGTCCTCGGGCCTCATCTCAGACGTCCCCAACATCCATCCAGAACTACCCAGCCACCGGCCAGAGGAGAAGGGGCTTTTGCTCTTTTGTTAGTCCTTTCGAAGGTTTTACTTCAATGCATTGGCTCTCAACAACAAACTCTGTGTGTCAGCGAGAGCCCAGCAGATATACGTGGTTTAAGTAAGAGTTTAACTAACAGGTGCCGAATTAAACTCCAGCGAGTGCGCTAGTTACTGCAAAGCTGGCTGAGGCCTGGGGAGGGACGTGAAATAAATGAATCCCGAAATGTTTGTAAACATCGTCTTTTCCATGTTATCGAACCCAATTACCCGAACACAGAGGGCTGGCCTGATAGGGTCACCAGGATCCCATAAACCAACAGAGGAAACCATTGTCCCTAGAACGACAGGGCCAACGCTCCCCAGCACCCGCAGGGCCCGGGCCGGCAGCGCTTCTATTCTGCTCCCACTCGATGACAGGGAACACAAACAGCTATTGTTCCGGCCAGGTCAGCTGCACTTCACCACCTCCTTTAATATGCAAGCAAATACGTTTAAGTAACGTTCTGGGGTGCTTCCTTATGACGTCCTGTAAGAGACAAGGACGTTAAAATCACCCAGAGAGGTCGCCCTAGATAGAACCACTGTGTTCGCATTTCGACTATGTCCTTCCACTTTTTCTACACACCTTCGCACTTTAAAAAGCAAATGGAGGGATCAGGTGGTGACAGAGTGGTAACCAGACCCACATGGGAGAGGCCCCAGGTTTGAGCCCCAGTTCTTCCCAAACACACCAAGCTTGCAGGTGCATGCCTGGGAGACAGGCTGGCCGAGAACAGGGCAGGGTCACGACAGGAAGACTCTGTAACTTTCTCTTTCATGGAAGAAATAAATAAACTTTAAAAAATGGAACTTGGAGCCAGCAGGTGGCGTAGTGATTAAGGTGCTGGACTCCTATATGGCCAACTATGGTTCAAGTCCTGGACCTGGTGACCTGCCTCTGTCTCTCTCTCTCTTTCTCTTTCTCTCTCTCTCTCTCTCTCTCTCTCGTGAGCACACGTGCTCTAGAGCAAACTAAAAAATAATAATGATGATTAATGAAATTAAATAAAATTTAAAAATGGAAGCTTGATGCATGTAACTTGTCTTAGGCTTTTATAGTCTTTCGAAAACATAATTTTTAATGGAGGCACATTTGGATCATAATTCAATCATTCATGTCTCTTAGGCCACTTAGGATGCTTCAGTTTTTCAGTATGACTGACAATAGCCGAACATCCTCATGAAAAAATTAGATTTCTTTACAGTGGTTCAACCCCTGGGGATTTATCCTATAATGGGAATATAAACTTTAAAAAAAAAATTCTCGCTCAGAACGTATGGTGAAACTGCTGTTCAGGGGTGGCGCCAATTATGCTCCCACTGGCAGTCCACGAGTGTTCTCATTTTAGAATGTTTTCAAAAACACATGGGCAACTCAGAGCTGATAGAACGGAAGGGCGATTACCCGGCGGAATCTGGCCTCGCCTGGAAAAAGGAATAAGGGCTCTGACGCTGCCTTTCAAACAAAACTCGATCTGCCCTTTCTGTGAGCAAAAAAGAAAAGGAGAATCCATTCACTGCCACCAACCTAAAAGCCACCAAGTGCCTGCTCTGTTACAAACAGTTGCTGCTCGTCCCCAGAACAGTCCACGTGCTCTGCCTTTAATGCCCGCACGCCCAGAGAGCTCAGGACATCACCGCACGCGCTGAAATAACCTGTACCTGCAGCAGCAGCTCTGAAGTGCATCTCCTGCGCTACCCTGGCCAGCAGCGCCAGTCCGGCCCACAGACTCTTGGTTCCTTCCCCAGTGATAACAAAACGTCAGATCCCAGAGTAACCTGCAGGGCAGGTTTACATGTTCTCCAAAATGAAAAGCATATCTATGTTGTTTGACACAGGCGAGAATCTCACCCACAACCATTGAGCTCCTACCTGTGATCTTACTGCTAAACGTATAAATATACACACACATACACACAGACACACACACATATATATGTATACACACACATGTATACAAACATATATATGCATACACACATATATACACATATATACATGCATACATATACACATACATACATATATACACACATATACACATATATATGTATATACACACATATACACACACATATCTATACGCATATATACATACACACATATGTATACACACATACACATGCATATATATACACAGAGACACACATATATATGTATACATACATGTATACAAACATGCATGTGTATACACACATATACACACATATACACACATATACACACATATACACATACACATATATACACACATATATGTATATACACATATATACACACATATCTATACGCATATATACACACACATGCACATAGACACACACATATATATGTATACATACATATATACAAACATATATATGCATACACACATATATACACATATATACACACATACATATACACATGCATACATACATATATACACACATATACACATATATGTATATACACATATATACACACATATCTATATGCATATATACATACACACATATGTATACACACATACACACGCATATATATACACAGAGACACATATATATGTATACACACATGTATACAAACATGCATGTGTATACACATATATACACATACATACATATATACACACATATATGTATATACACATATATACACACATATCTATATGCATATATACATACACACATATGTATACACACACACACACACATACACACATGTATATATATGTGTGGTTTGAGTCCCAGGCCTGGCAGCTTGCTTCTTCACTTTCCCTTTCTCTCTACCTTTGGTCAAATTTTTAAAATAATAACAACACATGAAATTAAATAAATAATCCTTTAAAAAAACACTGATGACATAGCCTCCAGGAATTAGGCAGTGTGGCCAGTCCGCCATCAGGAAACTAAACCACACAGGACTTTCAGCTCGGGCAGCAGACGCACTTCTCATTTCCCTAGCAGCAGCACCCTTTCTATCTCAAACACTTTGCAGTTTTGTGTGTGACACGAGAGCTCTCTCAGTACAAGGAGATCCAGAAAACGCTAACGTGACCTCGGTTGAGGACGTCCAGCATGACAGTGCCACTGAGAGCGAAGCTGACAGGACTGACTTCCACCCTGCCCACTGCCAGCCCCAGTCCTGCACGTCTCACGAGCTCACGGATGCCTTCCATGCACGCCCTCTACGCGTTCCTCTCGGTGACTCTCTGCCATTCTCATGATACAAAAACATGTCAAAGTGACTCAGGAGTTTGCATTTAAATAAAACGAATGGAGGTGATGTGAAACGAGTGGCCGTCTCTGATCCCACAGGGTCAGGAACAGGGAGTGTTGCTAATTCTGAGGGAGAGAGAGTCATTGAAGGGCGGGGTGTAATACAAGGTTTGCGAGCTTGGTTCAGGAAGATCAAGAACCTGTGCCCCATGATGTGGGGAAAGGACAGGCAGCCAGAGGAGAGACAGGGAAGATCCCAGAGGCCTGGGGCAAGGGGACGGATGCAGGAAGAGCCAGCAGAAGACCACACCAGTGTTGTGCCTATTTATTTATTTATTTATTCCTTTTTTTCAAGAGACAAGAGATTTTTGCTATAGGGTGCATGCGCTCGCTGGAGAGACAGAAAGTGAGAACTCACCCCCCAGGGGGATGGCCACACCGCAATCCCTTCTCCTCCATTCTCCTCTCAGGATCTTGGGCACGCACGCACATGCACCCGGCGTGAGTTTAAGCCACTGGGTCTGGGACTTGAACCGCAGTCGACTGCGTGGGAGTCCAGTGATGTAACCATTATGCCATCTGCTGGTCCCGGTTGTGCCCATTTAAATGCAATAGTCTGTATGTTTCAAAGCAACACCCTGTTACCTTCCTAAGCCTTTCCACAGAGGGACAGGTCAGTTGTCCCATTTGCAAAGTTCAGAGAACTGAGCTGTGTGGGGGCCAGGTGGTGGCACGGCAGTGACACGACTGCGCACACACAGGAAGGCCCCATGCTCACGTATGAGATCTCCCTGTGCATGTTAGGTGGCCCACGCACACCCGCGACCTGGGCTGGGTGAGGCTGGGGTGGACCACCGCATAGGACTCTGTCGCGGGTGCTGTCTCTCTCTCCATCTCTGTCTCTCTCTGTAACCAGCCCCTGATGACTCCTGACATACACCCTGGGCCCTTATGGACTCCAGAGACACCTCACCGCCAGTAGCTGGCCCTCTCCCAAATGAACATACTCACCCAGAAAAGTCCGTAGTGAGAATTCCATAGTTGAAGATGTAAATCCGGCTGATGTGGCATATGGTAAGATAGCCCATCGCTACGAAGAAGGAATATCTGAAACCAAACGCAGCAGACGACCGAATCATTACGCACGAAAACAATGCACTCAGTAGAAGTTCCCTTCTCTCTCGCCCTCATCCCCTGCACGCAATTGGTCACAAAGTCCCCCCTGGTACAGCGACCTCGCAGCCCAGCCCACTGCTCCTGGTCCTTCACCTCTTCTCCCAGGGCCGGCTGAGTGGTTCTCAGCCTTGGCAGCACCACGGAATCCTGTGGTCAGTGTCACAAACCGCGGATGGCCGGGGCCCACCTCCAACTACTCTAACTTAACTAGTACAAGTAGGCCCAGCAGGTGTCATTCCAAGGGGCAGCCGGGGCTGGAACCACTGACCTGGGACATCTCACACTCAAGGTCATCCTCAGCACGAGCCACCAGGCTGACGAGACGATCTTTCATCGCCACACTGTGACCACGGCTTTAAACCCTGTGTTCTCGGCTTCCCATGTCCTAGCTTTCTTCCCGTCTGATTAATTCCTCCAAGCCTCCCTGCTCAGCTTACCTTCCTCTGTCCACTCCTCGTGTGCCATTCAGGACCCTCCCTCTCCATGCCTCAAGTCTCAACTCCCACCTACCCGTCGGGTGATCCTGACCACCGTGTGGTATAAACCAGCAACACACCAGCAGCACACACGCGGACACCCAGTGAGCTGTGTGTACTCTTGTCACTCGTAGCATGTGCTCACTTATCATTCTAAACAGATGTGATGGACTGAATCTTGTGTGCCACCCCCCACCTCCGCCCCTCCCAATTCCTATGTTCAAATCCTAACTCCTGGGATTCAAACTGAGGGTGGTCATGCGGGATCCAGCTCCCTTAACCACTAAGCTACAGGGCCAGCCTCAGGCCCCACATGTTATAGGTTAAAAATCTAATGTACAAAGAAACTGTATGGCTGGGCCACACCCCAGCTGCCAGTAAAAAAACAGATTTCCTGACCCCATTCTAGTGCCCTTCTCATTAGCAATGGGAAACAACTCTGGAATCACGATTTTAATCTATATTGCATCTATCCATTTGGAACTGTGAGCCATGTTCTACTTCTGCAAAGCTTACCATCACACGGAAAGAGAGAGGAGAACACCCTTGGCCTCCTGCTGCTCTGTCCCCGGAAGAGCTGTCTGCTACCTGGTACCACTGCAGTGAAGCAGCCCGGCCCATATGGCACTGCTGGGCTCTGCGGGGCCGAGTACTCCGTTCCCAGCCACCGGACTGGGATACTGTCAACTGGGGACATGGAGACCCAGAGTTCTGAGAAAGTCACGGGCACCCCCGAGTCACACGTGTGTGGGGAGAGCTGACGACGGCAGTCATGTGCCGTGGGGACGCATCAGTCTGGCCCCCCATCCATCTAACTGCTTCCAAAACCAGGTTAGGATAAAACCAAGCCAATTGAAGGAAAAAGGAGAGAGAGAAGACAAAAAGCTTATACAAGCACTTTGTCATCAGATGAAGCATTTCTAAAACCCAGGCTTTCCAAGAGACAAAGAGATTTCCTACTTCCTTTATGGAGGGAATGACGCTCTT